AGAGAGATCTAGATGTCTGGCTTGCTTTTGGCCCTTTCTTTAAAGGTATATATTAGCATAGTTCATACTGAGTAAAAACTGGGACTCAGACTAGCAATTTAAAGTTCAAAGGACTTCACCAATTTTCACAATTAAGTGTCCTCTTTGTAATGAAAAGTATAGGATGGCTTAAGACTAGTGAACACTTGAGTTTTATGGATAAGAGAGATCATCCATTTTATAACAGGCAGAATCACTATCATTTTAAAGTGTGTGCATACAAGAACCAATGATGAACAACTTGGTGTGTAATGTTAGTTAATCTCTCAAGCATTTGCTAAGCACCAAATTGGTACATAGCACCATTCAATTTCATTCAAAACATATTGCAGCCATCGTTTCCATCCTTGAAGAACTCTGATTTAATGACACAAGACAACCCACATTTAACAGATCTCTTATCTGTTCTTTTAAGAGCAAAACAGAAACTGAAAATCAAAACTTGCCTCTTCTGCACAGCCATATTTCAATGGCCACTACCACTACCTGCTTTTTGTCCACTAGGCAACCCCAACTTCTGGTCCTCTGGATCACTCAGGCAGGGACAATGTCTCATGTAGTTCATTTCCACAGTAGTTCTGGAAGCCACTGGTCTTCTCCCAATGTTTCATTTCTACTGATTTAGGTAGGATGAGTGTCATGAAGAAAAACACTTGACTTAGGCTTAGTCAGAAGAACTGAATTTGAATCCTGAACTCCCTACCCAAGTCAGAACTTGATTAATTTCTCTGGGGCTATTTCATAACAGGTAGAACAGACACTGTGTAGTTTTCCTACTAGAATGTTTTCAAGGTCAGAGGAGGGGCTACCTATATCAGTTGCTAGCTCAACTCTTGGAACATGTATATTCCAAGTAAACCTCACATGAATATGAGTCTTCTTCTCATAGGATAATGGTAATAAACAATTGTCTGACATGATAAGCCCAAAGGACCCAAAAGATTGTCTCATTTGTATGCAGTTGCAGCTGAGAGTCCTTAAAGATAAAGCCATTAAGTGACGTCTATCAGTAGCAATGGCAAACCAGAAATTAGGATCTGGTGGTCAACATTTTCATTGAACTCCTTGCAACTTGACATACATATTCCTACCAGCTGACCATTTAAAATAGAATTCTCAGCATTCTCTTGTTCTAATCAAAAGCCTTTGGAGACTAACTATGGCCTGGCAATTAAGTAAATCATTCAATCATCTCATCCTGCTACTCAGGTATTCTAATACTTTCCTAAATCCCCCTGCTTCTTTCACAATGTCCCCTTTCACACAGTCTGGGATCTGCCAAACTAGGTTTCTTGCCTGCTCTGTACATGTTACATTATAAAATCCATGAGATTAATGATTTCACTGTTTTTTTCATGGTGAAATCCCCAGTGCTTGGTGAGATTCTTGACCTCTAGTAAAAGCTCCATAAAAGTTTCTTGAAGATGACAGGCATGCTTCATTATGATAAGTATAGTAATTATATTAGCAATAATGATGGCAAAATAGTAATAATTATAATTCTGATAGTAGTAGTGAAATAATGTTCATAGGCATCAATGAGTCATTGTTCAATATCACTAGGTTGTAAATTTATTATATCAATTAAACCTTCTAACAACCCTCTCATATACCACGCTACCCTTATTCATTCTTACTGATGAGAAGAACAAGACTCAGAGAGATTAAAGAGCTTTCCTGGGCCTCCCCTGGTGGCGCAGTGGCTGAGTGCTGGGATGCAAAGCTGCCCGCAGCCTCTGCAGCGCTGGTTCGATCCCCGGCCACCAGCGAGGGTCCCACATGGTGTGACAGACCTCTCCTGCCACATCCGCTGCTCCCCTCAGCAGTGTATTTCGTCAGTCTGACTGTTCTGTTCCCCGCTCTGGCTCTGGTGAATTCTCACGCCCACCTGCGCTCTGACTGTACCCAGTGCTTGTATAAATAAACAAATAAATCTTTAAAAAAAAAACCAACTTTGCTGGTACTAGTTGATTGACTTATTCATTTATTCAACAAATATCAGGGAAGTTCTCCTAAGTGACAGGCTCTGTTCTAGGGGGTATGGATGTAACCTACCTCTTCCTCTTTGTGAACAAGGTACTTAGTTTCATGGACCTAGTAATTTAGTTGCATAAAACAGAAATTCATTCACCAAATAAATGTCAGATAGTGATGAATCAAAAGGAAAATAAAGCAGGGTAAAGGGATCAAGAATGATGAGATTAATATTTCAGATAATGCAGTTGAGTAAAGGAGGTAAAAGGTAAGGTGTATGAGGAGATAACAGTTGATGGCTTGACTGATAAAAAGAAATGAGCCACTAAAGACCTGGTGGGAAAATGTTTCAGGCAGAAGAAAGGGTAAGTGCAAAGGCCCTGAGGAAAGTGTCCTCCTATGCTCCAAAAACAGAAAGATTTCGTGTGTTTGTGGGTGCTGAGACTACCCTAAGCAGTGTAGGCATGCCGCAGATTATGACTTTTGCTCTCATTCAGAGGGAAAGTAACTAGAGTGTTAGAGCCAAGAGTGACAGTGTCCTCAGTTTTAAGAGGATCTTTCTGGCGAGGGTATAGTGAGTAGTAAGATCAGTTACAAGAATACATTTGTCTCCTCTTACCCATTGGAGATATATCTGAGTCTCCTGGGGATGCCTGAAATAAAACTCTATAATGACATATTTTATCCTAAATATACATGCCTATGATGAATGCTAATTTATACATTAGAAAAGGCAAGATATTTATGACAATAACTGATAATGAATTAAATGATTATAACAATGTACTGTAATAAACATGTGGATATTGTCTCTATTGCTCTAAAGTATTTTGTATGCAATATCTTTGGACCAAGGTTGATGGTGGATTACTGAAACAAGGGAAATTGCAGATTACTGAAGATTACTGTATTAAAGTCATACATATGAAAAAGTCAAGGGTGGGAAGAAACTGTAGGCTGGCTAGTGAGAAGGTGAGAAAGGAGTCTAAGATTAGTCCAAGGTTTTTGGCGTGAGGAATCAAAAGAAGAGACACCTCCGAGCCCCCTACATGGAAAGGCATGAGCTGGTTGATAGATGTACTTGTTCAAAGAAACAAAATAAGGTAGAATTTTACATCTCAGAGTTATCAACATAAGGAAGAGATTTTAAGTGATGAGATGGGAAAGAGGAGATGGAAGCCCTTATCTGAACCTGGACAGTCCTTAAGACACTGGGCCAAATCATCTCCCACTCTGTTCCGGGTAAGTGATCAATGCTGGAGATGTGACCTGCACGCTGGGAGCATGGAAAATACGTGGAAAGTGAGGGCTTGGGAGCTAGAGTAGAAACAGAGATGGAAAATGCCTCTAATGCAGTGAAAGTGCTGGCTGGAGTATGAATAGTGTGGTCTCGGGGATGGAGGCTACACAGAGGAATCATCTTTGGAACTAGGCGGGCCAAATTTCCTCATTCTCCAGATCTATTCTTCACTTTTCACCTTGCTATGCGATTGCCCTCCAGGGGGTAACCTATATAACTATAGAGTGACTGGTATTTTCACTTCTGGCTATACAGCCAGGGAGGGGGCACAAGGGCAGCATATTAATTCCCTTTACTACCAGGAGATGAACCTGGTTCAGTCGTGTTCCTCAACCAAGAATCACTGTTCTTTACAATGTGGTCCATCCTACAGAACTCTCCTTCTGGGACTGCCTTCTAGACTCCTCCTAGGCCTGACTTGACAGCTATTATGCTATTATGATCCATGGTGTTCCCCTATATTCTGGTCATAAATGTTGTGATTCCTTACCCCAGTTTGTTTGTATCTCTCTTGTTGAGATTTGCAATGACTTAGTGGGGCTTTGAAAAAGAATTTGCAATTCTTTGGGACTTTCCTCCCAAGTAAACTGTGAGCTCTTCCATGAGAAAGCAAGTCTTGTTAAATCTCAGTTCTATCTCCCCATCTCATTGTCTAACAGATTTCAATCAGAGTGGCTGATTATTAATTATTAAAATATGTTAATTTCATCTCAGTCACGGCATTCCTTTAACCCAAGTTGGTCGTAAATCTGACTCTATACTGAATATCCCTCCCTTAGCCCATATCCCTGGCAGGACACAGGGGAAGGCCCACAGCTCCATTTTTTCTTTTTTTCCTCTGGCTGTTTTCTCTCACTCTTTCTCAATCAGGAGCCAGATGCCCCCATTAAAGCCATTTCCTGTTCAACACCGCATTGTTCTATAGTCTTCATGTCAGTGTCAGATATACGTGACCTCAGAAAAAACCCTATATCTCTACCACAATTTTCAAAATTGCAGAATCAAGGAAAAAAATGTGACTAGCTTCACAGGGTTGTTGAGAGAATGAAAACAAAGACCATGTCCTGTGAAATTTATGTCTTCCCCACAAAATACATCAGGCTATAAAGAAGAAGCACTTTCTCTATATCCCCAACCTACATTCTTGACTGGTTTCTGTGAGGTAAACACTTCATTAACACACTGAGTAAAGTAATAACAGAAACTGATATTTCCAAAGAACTTATTCCCTGCTAGGAACTGTTTTAAGCACTTTACATATCATCTTATTTAATCCTCACAAAAACCATACATGACAGAACCTGTTTTATGCTATTTTATAGATGAGGAAAAATAAGGGCACGAAATGAAGCAACTTGCCCTAGGTCAGGAGCCAGAATCAAACACAGGAAGTGTGATCAAAAGTCACACTGTTAGTCCCTTTTTTTGCATGGTCTCAACTGGACCCATTCCCTGTGTGTGACAACAGGAAAACAAATCACAAAGGCCACTGGCTGCAGTTGACATTGTGGAAAATTGACAAATGTGGAAATTAGTAAGTGAGCTAAATTATAATTCATAAAAATTTCTTATGAATTTTAATTTAGCTCAGGCATTGCACTCCAAAGGAAACTTCATCATTTGTGTCTGGTTAACGGAACTGCATTCATACATTCCAGGGTAGCCAGTGTGTCTAGATGAGCCTCACCTGAACTCAGTGCATGCTCCACTTCCTGCATGATCACCCCAGGGGAGGCCGTAGTGATCTCGACCTCTTTCAGCCTGCAGGTCACTACAGTTGACACGGTGGCTGGGTGTGTTGTCTCTGCAGGCACTGGCTCAGCTGAGGCAGGTGTGTAGGTTATGTGGTCAGAACTGTGCTCCTCTGCTGTGGACTTCGGTGGAGTTGGGGCTCCTGTGGGCTGGGTGCTGTTCTCAGCAGAGCTGTGGTTGGTGCTGATTGAGACAGAGGATGCCTCTGGTGGTGTGGTTGATAGGGGTGAGGGTGAAGAGGCTGGAGCCTGAGAGATGGTGAGTGTGGGGGACGTCACAGAGGATGGTGGCCTGGTAGTTGGCACGCTGGGCTCGGGCGTGCTAGGGCTGTGCTCCACTGGCGTGTGTGTTAACTGGATTCCACTGGTTGTGGGCGAGGAGTGCGTGTCTGTGACTGCCTGTTTTGAGACTGCAGTGGTGGCCTCCTCTTCTGTGGGTTCTGTGGAAACGTTCTTGGGGAGGGGAGATGTCTGCACTGATGATGCTGTGACAGGAAGCACCGAGTTGCTGGGCGTGCCACTGGTAGGGGAGGCAGGAAGGCTTTGTAGAGAGCTGGTCCAGATGGCTGTCGTCGGGACAGTCTTGGCTGAGAGAGAGACAGGCAAGAGGGATGCTGTGGGCAGACTCTGTACCCTCAGTCCTGTGGAAGAGCCAGTATAGTGATTAGTGCATGAACACCAGAGACACAGCCCTGTCTTACTGCATTGTCACAGGACTGTCTCATTTGGCATTATTCTATCCCTACCGTGACTTTTAAAATATTTTCTTCCCACTAATTGCTGGGAACCCTTTTATGACTGTCATTTGGAACCAGCCTGCAGGCCCAGGAAGACCAAGGAGAGGGTCAGTCGACACATGTCCAGCCAGTACATGGAATAAACTGCTGTAGTCTCCTGCTTGCTCAAACCATGCCTTAAAAGGTGAGGCTGTCTGAGGAACCACTTTAAGGGAATTTGTGCTGCAGAGGGAGGGGTCTGCTTCACTAAGCCTGCTGCCTGCCAAGATGTCCGGGGTGAAAGGCAGGTTGGTGTATGCAAAACTGGAGGAGTTTACTGATTAACTGTTCTGCCCTGGGTTGTGCTCTGCATTTCTGCACAGGGATGCAAGGACTCTGGGCTTGCTGGGAAGGATGTATAAGATTGTGAGCACACTCCCTGTGGAGGGGGAAAGATGGTGAGTATCAGAATAAAAGCTGAGAGGAGGAATCTGAGATTTGAAATATTTCTGAGACTGAATTCAGTTCTCCCCAATTCTAGCTTGGGGTCTTTATGGTCATTTCAGTTTGTAAAATGTTCTCCTTCACATTTTGTAAACTTTAGAATTAGTTTCATTTCTCCCTTCCTCTTTCCTTCAATTTATCCATTTAATTTCATCCATCCATTTATCCAGTCATCATTTAGCAAATGGTTTCTATGTGTCAGCATTCTGTAAGAATTCATGGTCTCACAGTTTATATAAAGCATCTTCAGATTCCTTCCCTATTCCTCTGGCCTTTCCCGAGCTGGCTTTTCTCCTAGTTATTTCCATCTCAGTTGATGTTATCTACTTTTACTCTGTTGCTCCATAAAACTGAGCTATCATCTCGATGTACCTCTTTCCCTCACACCCCACAACAAACCCATTGGTGAATCACGATGGCTCTAATTTGAAAATATATCCCAAGCTAGGCCTCCCTGGTGGCAGAAGGGGTTAAGATGCAACCTATGAAGCTCATCACAGCCACTGCAGCATGAGTTCAGTCTCTGGCCAGGGAGCTACCCACATGGCACAGCAGACCTCTCCCGACTTGCCTGCTGCTCCCCTCAGCCATGCCTTTCGGTTGATCTGCCTGTTCTGTTCCCCACTCTGTCTCTGGTGAATCACCCCCCACACTTCTGGCCTGTACCCCAGTTCTTGTATGTATAAATAAATAAATCTTTAAAGCAAAAAGAAAATATATCCCAAACTAACCACTTTCACCACCTCCCACATTATCTCAACATCAGTCACTTGCCTTGCAACTGCCTTAGTCTCAACTGGTTTTCTGCTTCCAGGCTTCCTCCCTTTCAGTTAACTTCTTGTGTAGCAATCAGTATGCTTTTTTAAAGTGATAAACTAATCATGTTCTTTAGAAGATCAAAACCTTCCAAAGGTATTCTGCTGTACTTAGAACAAAATCCCAAATTGCTCCCTGATGTTGTCCTGTGTTCTCATCTCTGGTTAACATCCTAAATAAAATCATCCTCATGTTTATTCCAGCATATTTAAAAAAATATTTAAGTAAATCTGTTTATATAAATATATAAATATATGTGTGTATATATATACATATATATGTATGCACACACACTTATAACATTAATATTTGCCATTTCACAAAGATAAACAGCTGGGACTACATCAAATTAAAGAGCTTCTGCACAGCAAAAGAGACAATAACCAAAACAAAGAGAGATCCCACCGACTGGCAGAAAATTTTTGCACACAACACTAACGATAAAGGACTGATCACAAAAAACTACAAAGAGCTGATGAGACTCAACAAAAACAAAGAAAATAATCCAGTCAAAAAATGGGCAGAAGAGCTAAAAGGAAACTTCTCTGAAGAGGAAATGCAAATGGCCAACAGGCATATGAAAAAATGTTCAACATCACTTGTAATCAGGGAAATGCAAATCAAAACTACCATGAGATACCATCTTACACCAGAGAGAATGGCACATATTAAAAAAACTAGCAACAACAAATGTTGGTGAGGTTGTGGAGAAAAAGGAACTTTCCTGCACTGCTGGTGGGAGTGCAAACTGGTCCAACCACTATGGAGAGCTGTGTGGAGATTTCTTGAACTACTAAACATAGAGCTTCCATATGATCCAGCAATTCCACTTCTAGGTATTTACCCAAAGGACACAGAAACATTCATTCAAAAGGGTACCTGTACCCCTATGTTTATAGCAGCACTATTTACAAGCTATGGAAACAACCCAAATGCCCAAAAATAGATGACTGGATCAAGAAGATGTGGTACATATACACCATGGAATATTATTCAGCAATCAAAAAAGATAAACACATGCAGTTTGCAGCAACATGGATGGAGCTGGAAGGGATCATGCTCAGCGAAATAAGTCAGAAAGGAAAAGAAAAATACTGATGGTCTCACTCATAGCAGGAATTTAGAAAACCTAAATAAGAGACCAGGAAAAAGACTAATCAATACAAAGTAAAAATCAAAATCAACAAGCAACTAACTATACACCAGAGACACACTATGGGGTGGGGGTAGGTGGGAGGCAGGGGTGGGGAAAGGAAGGACTAGAGTCAAAATAAGGGGGGGGTGCAATTGTATGGGGAATATAACCAAAATGAAAATGTATACATTGTGCAAAGATGAAAAAAGATGTAAGAATTATATAAAATAAAATATTTAAATTAAAAAAACAGTAAAAAAAATATTTGCCATTTCAGCCATTTTGAAGTGCTCATTTGATGTCATTAAGTACATCCACATTAGTATCCACCCACCACTCTTATCCATTTCCAGAATTTTTCATCTTTCCAAACTGAAACTTTACCCAACAAATTGTTCATTTTCCTCTCTTCCTAGTGCCTAGAAACCACTATTTTACTTTCAGTCTTTAGAATTTGACTGCTCATACAATTAGAATCACACACTATTTGTCCTTTTGGGACTGACTGACTTTACCTAGCATAATATTTTCGAGGTTCACTCATTTTATAACATGTGTGAAAATTTCCTTCCCATTTAAGGCTGAATAATATTCTATTGTATATATATGCCACATTTTTCATCCAGTGATGGGCCTTGATGGGTTGCTTCCACCTTCTGTCTGTCTTCAGTGATGCTGTTATAAATCTGAATGCATACTGAACTCTTTCAAATCAAGGGACATATATGCAGAACTGGAAATTGTGGATCATATGGTAATTCTGTATTTAATTATTTGAGGTCTAATTATTAGGCCCTTTGCTCATTTTGTCTTTCATAGATTAAATAAAATGGTTTCTTCTTGGTATTACACATTATTCATTTACTTATTTATTATCTTTTTCTTTTACCAGAAAATAAGCTTCACAATGTTACAGGGACCTGGTCTTAGTCATTGCTGTTTTCCCCAAACTAGGAGAGTACATAGGTTATAATATGTAAGTGCTCAATAGGTAGTTATAGCAAAAAAAGGAAGCAAGAAGGATAGGAAGGAAGGAAAAAGAAAAAAGGAAGGTGAGAGGAAAGGAGAAAGGGAGAAAGAAATGAATGAACTTAAAACCCTATTCAAAAACACTCCAGCTCTCTCTGCTGTCTACAATGTGTTGCTTAGCATGGCCACATCTTAGCTGCCTTGGGGATGGCTGCCTCTGCCTACCTGGTGTTTTCTGATGTCTTACTAAGTCTTCAACTACTTTACCTTTAACTATTTGATCTCACACACTCTGCAGAGATTCCTTGGGGATAACATATCAGTGACAGTCGAACATGAATAAGATTCATAAGGTCTAAAATGTGGGGTAGATTCCAGTACAGAGGAAGGGGAGAAAAGTTACATGAGGGAGGCATTTTTAAGATGAAATTGCTTAATTCTTCATTCTACCAAACAATATTCAGAAGCCAATGAAAAATGGTGCTACAGAATTTACCTGAATTTAACATTTCTATTGCTGTCAAAATAATTATTTTTTCTTATTAAAAAGAGTTGGTCAAGACTACAGGACAGTCGCTCTTCTAGCAAACAGGGGGGCCGATATCCCAAACTAGGCCACATTAGGGTCCATGTTTATATAGTGGACTTTTGGCAACTGTGAAATGTCAGTAATTTCAGAATGACTACTGATCAAGAACTCTTTGACACAGGACAAAACAACAGTTGGAACAAATATCAAAACACAGTATCTTCATGTGTGACCTTTAGAACTTACTGGCTCTGCATGCTGGTAACTCACTGAAGATTCTGAGGCCACAGACCCAAAATGACAATGTTTAACTAATAGTAATAGCATCACATAATAGATGAGCATATGGAGGTGGGGAGAGTCTCAGTCTGTAGCCAAGTCAGAGTCTGTGGAAGCCTGGGATGAAAGAGGAATGAGTCATACACAGAGGAACATTCATTCATTCATCAATTCATTCGTGCAAGCTTTTATTCAGTAGCTACTATGCCCTTGACCTGGCCCTTAGAGAGTTTACTATCTGGTACAACAGAAAGGATACCCAATTCCTATATTATGATGTGATAAATGGGAGAGAGATGAATACATTCTCCATGGGGACCATGGAATGTAAAAATGTACAAATGCCATTTTCAAATGACATTTACAAAAGTCAAAGAAGAGATGAATGACATTTGATTTAGTTCTGACAGAATGAGAACACACAGATGCCACTTACATATATGGTGTTCGGGGTGATACTTGCATTGAAATTTCCAGTGGAGCTAAAAGTTGTACCTTGGAAATCATTATAGTACTGAAATGACACACCCTAGGAATTGGCTTTATGGGCATATCCTTTTTCTGGCTCAATTTGGATTAATGTAATTTTTTAACTCTTGCTCTTCCTGCTTCCAAAGAGGTAGACATTCATTTCTCATGGCTACCTACTAAGCACTGAATTAAGGTACTTTACAGTCTAGTAAAGAACTGCTA